CTGGATAATTTGACCTTGATGTAAGAACCAGGGTTGCTTTTGCAGCCTGTAAGAGACTGGCATAGAGGGTTTGAGACTCCAATATAGACACAGATGTCAAAGTTTTGTATTGTAAGTTCCCATATATTTGCCTCTTTTTCCGATTTTCCTCTCCAAGCTTGTATCAAGAACGCCCTGAATCTGATCTTACTCGTAGGCACTGTTTCTTTATCTGCTGATAATGAAGCCAGATGATCCTTGAATTTCCCTGAAAACTTACATGTTACACATTTCCCTCCACAAACACCTGCTTAAAACTCATCCATTTGTTTTGACCCTCAATTTGCTATATCTTGTAGAGACTGCACTTTTGTTTCCCGGCCACCCAGACCCAAACATTCACACAGAAGCTATATTAATTACACCATTTAACATACGGCTCAGGTATATTTTAAGGTGGCTCTTACAACTTAAATTAACCCATAATTCTTATCTCTGTTTAGCCACATGGCTTGGTACAATTTCTCAGTGCAGCATTTTCATCTTGCATCCTCTGTGTCTATGTAGTGACTGCAGACTGAGCCTTTCCTCTTCCCAGAATTCTCCTAGTCTGGTTGCCCTGCTTACACTTCCTGCCTGGCTACTGGCCAATCAGTGTTCTACTAAACAAATACAAGTGACAGATCTTTACAGGGTACAAGAGCATTGTCCCAGAGCAATATCTGTTACTTTTTCCTTTCTCATACTGAAAACAAAGCTTTATTTTGAGGTCTAATACTCTATATGTTCTTCTAACTTACCTCCTAGCATACTGCATAGACTAACACAAAAGAGAATACATTTTCTTTAGAAAACTGTACCGTTACATCACCAAAATGTCCTATTTATCAGCAATTTTCATTGAGTCACACTGTTTAATATAAATCCTCTCTGTCTTTTAAAAGAAAAAAGCAGGTCATAGAAATCTTTTCTCTTTAACAGGAAAATAAACCTGCAACGTCAAGATACAGTATAATTTTCATGATTGTATTTCTTTATACGTTTATGAAATGAGAAATGCATTGCCATGTCTTTCAAGTGATACAGTGATAGTTTACGGCCATATCTTAGAGATTGACACCAAGAGGTAGCCAAGAAAGTAGTAGTGTGATAGTATAGTTGTGTATGTGTGTATGTGTGTGTGCATGCATGTGTATGCATGTGTGTATCTGTGTGTGCATGTGTGTGTATCTGTGTGTGTGTATGTAGGTAAGAAGTCAGTATTGGGTGTCTTTTCAGTTGTTCTTCATCTTATTTTTTAAGACAAGCTCCACTGTAGAACATAGAGCTCAATGACCCAGACAGAGTTGTTTGCCAGAAAGTCCCAGGGGTCCAGGGGTCAAGGGGTCCACTTGTCTCTGCTTCCACGGTGCTTAGGTTATAAACTCTTGCTCATGAACAGCTGTTTATGTGGTTCCTTGGAGATCAAGTTCAGACCCTCAAATACTTTACACAGCAATGCTTCTCCTCTGCCCTGAAACCTGATTAGTATTTACTTTTTTTTTTTGTTTTTTTGTTTTTCAAGACAGGGTTTCCCTGTAGTTTTGAACCCTGTCCTGGAGCTAGCTCTTGTAGACTAGGCTGGCATTGAACTCACAGAGATCCACCAGCCTCTGTCTCCCAAATGCTGGCACCACCAAGGCCTGGCTGTAGAACTTATCTTGAAGGCCACTTTATTCTCCCCCACATCTTCTTTCATTGTTTAAAAGTCTATGGCCTTCTGGCCTCCATACCACCAGCCGTTGTTATATTTTCCCCGCCCTAGAATGGCATCTCAGTGTGTGTTTCCCATAAGCTAGAACAGTCTTCTTTATAGCATTGACTCAAAACTGCACCTCAAAACCTTAGTCTCTCAGATATTGACAATGCAATGAATCCATTTAAAATGAAGACCCAAAATTTAATGGACATTCCTATTTCTGGTGAAAAACAAAACGGATGTCTGAACACTGAACCTCCATATTTTCTAAAATAAACCTAAAGCTGAGCAGACGGGACCGATTCACTTAGCACAATGTTTTTTCCACCTTCATTTCCTCCACTCATTGAGCTGCCTCACCCACATGGCTTTGTGCCCTGGATGGAGTTCATGATCCTGTCTCTTTTCAAGATGATCTCTCATTTTCATCCCCAGTGTAACTTTCCTACATAACTTACTTTTCAGTCTCCCATCAATTTCAATGTAATCAGTGGTAACCGTGTTTTATAAAGAACATGACAGTGGGGAAAAGCTCAAGAAGTCCTTGTCAAGGCTAGGGTTGCAAACGACAATCAATTCTTTTCAGATTGCACTCTGAAGGTTGTTATATTCAAAGCAGATAATCCAACCTTTTGTTTAAGGAACAAAAAGTGGTTAAACACTGACCTATCCGCTGCTATTGTCTGTCTACAAGGGAGAAGAGATGACTGGCTCTGACTCCGTGCTGCAGAGCAGTATACTGGAAAACGTTGTTCCGGGAAATTTCTTTTGTCACTGCTGGTTAGACAGTAAAGCCTTCAGTGCTCACCTCCCCTAACAAAATACATTCAGAAGATGACCTGCTGTCTTTCCCAAGATCAAGATTATTGCTATCTGATATATTAGAATATAGCACCCTAGAATCAGAGCATGAGACTCAATTGTGACTTACGTGAAGGGAAATATACTCATGTTTTTAGAAGTCTTCATGAAATGTTTAAAATACAACTTGTATCTCAATATTCCAACTGATAAAAGAGTGAGAACTGTACTGACCATTACATCTATGTCAAGTCAGCACATTGATAACTCACTTTTTCCCCTAAAGGGACAAATGAATGAATGAATGGATGGATGGATGGATGGATGGATGGATTTGATTGAGAAATGTCTTAATTTACTAACTTTTATAACGTTTAAGTTTTAGAATTATAAATCTAGAAATTAAGTGTGAGATTTTATTAGCTTTGTTGTGCTATTTGTTTGTGACAGTTATCTCAATCAAGGTCCTTCTTGGTTTTTGTTGTTGTTGTTGTTGTTGTTGTTGTTGTTTTGAAATAATAGTTGATGGGCACCTCCAGAAATAAAACCTGGTCAATGCAATGCTTTAAAGTATAGTTTGTTTCATTGTTTCCATTTTACCACAGAAAGCTATAAACACCTAACTAGAAGATCATGGCAAATCCTGTGCTGTCAAGGTACACTCCTATGGAGACAGCTTGTTGTCAGTTAGTAAGGGATTTGAATAGCTTTAGAATTGATGAAAGTTAACTTTAGATCTGGCATTCATGCTTCTGGGCCCTGTTGGCACCAGACATGAACATAGTACCCATACATGTAAGCACTTACATATGCACATAAAATAAATCTTCCCCAAAGTAGCATCACTTATCATGATAGTCTCTCTTGACTTGAGAGACTAAAATTTCACTCAATGCACACCCTACCTCACACTGGCTAATACGTTGCCAAATTTTCACATTCGTGAGGTCATTGTATAGTCAGGCTAAACCACAGTGAGGCATTCTTTAACAACTTAGCAGTCTAAAATATATTAAATGCAAATTCATCAGGAAGCTGCAAAGTCCAGAAGAAATAATATTTTGAAGGAGTAGTCAATGGGTACCTATAGTACTAAAACAGCTGTCTCGTTTGACTTTCATATCAGCTTCCTGAATTAATTGTGCATATGAAATGGGCAGAATGGGAGTAAGGATTGGCAATGTGTGCAACGGCTGCTTTGGAAATGTGCCTTATCCATATTTCATCAAATCTGTGCAGGAGAGCAGATGAGAAACATGAAGGAAGTGAACTATGAAAGGATGTTCGAAAGTAAGAAAAGTGTGAAGGCCTACACACATATGATCTAATTAATAGGGAATCATGTTGGTTGTTATAATAACATAATAAGAAACAATAAGGAAATGAGATTCTATTTCCAAAACTCATGTAGGCAATATCACCCATTTTCGTCATATATGTGTGATAACTGAAGGGGAGGTAGGAATTATTTCTTTGGATTGCTAAAGAGAAAGGAATATGGCATCTTCTAAAAAACATGGATAAGTACAGAGAAGACAAGGCTCTAACTTTAGCATGCTACTGACACACAGGCAGCTTTGGGAACATCAGCATGTTTAGCTATAAATGATCTCTCGTGTCTCTAGCTATTCTGATTTTATGACTCTCAAGACTTCTGCCAACTAAAAGGCAAGTATATGTCACATTAGTGAAATAAACAAAAAGTACTTCACGTGCTATTTCAGAAAGCCATTGTTAGCAGGTTGGTGCCTTTAATCTCAGCACTCGGGAGTGGAGGCAGTGGCGGGCGGATCTCTGTAAGTTCAAAGTCAGTCTGGTCTATAAGAGCTAGTTTCCAGGACAGACTCCAAAGCAACAGAAAAACCCTATAATAATCTTTTAGATTTAAGAAACTAGCTGCAATACTCTTTTATGAAGTAAATTATCTTTGCCCTTACAAATTTGTGAAAGCACTCAGAAGAAAGTAGAGTTGCTAAAGAATAGCAAAATTTAAAGGGCGTGGGACTCCAAATAATCATTGAGACACTGAAAATTGCAAGGTATCTGAAATGGAAAACAGGGAAGACAAACATCCCCAACAAATGTATATTGCATCTCAGACAAGCAACACATTTACAATGATCATCTATTAAATAAACAACCTTATATTTAATAAGTTGGATTAAAATTAGTGTGCAAAGAGTTCTTCTAGGAGCAAAAGTAAAATGTTAGCTTGCCTAAAATAAGAGTTTGCCCTGAATTAAATACTCCCCTGAAATGTTGCAGACATTATGATTATAAAAAACTGATTTACAATGAAAAATTTTCACTGATTTTATTTGCGATCAACTTTTTGAAATATGGCTGAAATTTTAATTTTACTGTGCTATAATACCACAGCGTATGTGAACTCGGTTATTCGAGCAGAATTTATGTAGTTTACTTCTGGCCTTTATTTTCTTATTTGATAGTAAAATACTATGTTTTGTTTACTTGGTTGTAGACTAAAGGTTCTCAAACCATGACAGCCTCTGGTACCCAGAAAAAAGTCAAGAGAACACTGCCGAACCCCCCTCCCGAGGAGGCATCTACGGGAACACAGTCCGCTTATAGCACAATGGGCACGGCGTCCAGGAGAAGAATGTGCAGAACTAACACCATGGCTCGAGCCAAGATTCTCCAGGACATAGACCGAGAGCTCGACCTCGTAGAAAGGGAATCTGCCAAGCTTAGAAAGAAGCAAGCAGAACTTGATGAAGAAGAAAAGGAGATCGATGCTAAGCTACGGTATTTAGAAATGGGGATTAACAGGAGGAAAGAAGCATTGCTGAAGGAGCGAGAAAAGAGAGAGCGTGCCTACCTGCAGGGGGTAGCCGAGGACCGGGATTATATGTCGGACAGTGAGGTCAGCAGCACCAGGCCAAGCCGAATAGAAAGTCAGCACGGCATTGAGAGGCCAAGGACAGCTCCTCAAACTGAATTCAGCCAGTTCATACCACCCCAGACCCAAACGGAAGCTCAACTGGTTCCTCCGACGAGTCCTTACACCCAATACCAGTACTCCTCGCCGGCTCTTCCCACCCAAGCACCCACCCCGTACACTCAACAATCTCATTTTCAGCAGCAGACATTGTACCATCAGCAAGTCTCACCTTATCAGACTCAGCCAACCTTCCAAGCGGTGGCAACCATGTCCTTCACACCCCAAGCTCAACCCACTCCAAGCCCACAACCATCTTATCAGTTACCGTCACAGATGATGGTGATACAGCAGAAGCCTCGGCAAACGACATTGTATTTGGAACCCAAGATAACGTCCAACTATGAAGTGATTCGCAACCAGCCCCTGATGATCGCTCCCGTTTCTACTGATAATACGTACGCTGTTTCCCACCTCGGGAGTAAGTACAATAGCTTAGATTTGAGAATAGGGCTGGACGAACGAAGCAGGATGGTGAGCAGCCCGATATCGAGCATATCTGCAGACTCTTTCTATGCAGATATGGACCACCACACTTCAAGGAATTACGTCCTCATCGATGACATTGGCGAGATTACCAAAGGGACAGCAGCGCTAAGCACCGCATTTAGCCTCCATGAAAAAGATCTCTCCAAAACAGACCGTCTCCTGAGAACCACCGAGACCCGCAGGTCTCAGGAAGTGACCGATTTCCTAGCACCTTTGCAGACGTCCTCCAGATTGCACAGCTACGTGAAAACAGAGGAGGACCCGATGGAGGATCCTTACGAGTTAAAGCTTCTGAAACACCAGATTAAGCAAGAATTCCGCAGAGGCACAGAGAGTCTCGACCACCTTGCTGGTCTTTCACATTATTACCATGCCGATACTAGCTACAGACATTTCCCCAAGTCTGAAAAGTACAGCATCAGTAGACTCACCCTTGAAAAGCAAGCAGCCAAACAGTTACCAGCAGCCATACTCTACCAAAAGCAATCAAAGCATAAGAAATCATTAATTGACCCTAAAATGTCAAAGTTTTCACCTATTCAAGAAAGTAGAGATCTTGAACCGGATTATCCAAGTTATATGAGTTCTAGCACTTCATCTATTGGTGGTATTTCTTCTAGGGCAAGGCTTCTTCAAGATGATATCACATTTGGTCTCAGAAAAAATATTACAGATCAACAAAAATTCATGGGCTCATCACTTGGGTCAGGACTGGGCACATTAGGAAATACCATCAGGTCAGCTCTACAGGATGAAGCAGATAAGCCATACAGCAGCGGAAGCCGGTCCAGGCCTTCCTCGAGACCTTCTTCCGTCTATGGGCTTGATTTGTCAATTAAGAGGGATTCTTCCAGCTCATCGTTAAGACTGAAAGCTCAAGAGGCTGAAGCTCTCGATGTCTCCTTTGGCCATTCATCCTCTTCTTCCAGAACTAAGCCCACCAGTTTACCAATCAGCCAGAGTAGAGGAAGAATACCAATTGTAGCTCAGAATTCAGAAGAAGAAAGTCCGCTCAGTCCTGTGGGCCAGCCAATGGGAATGGCCAGGGCTGCAGCTGGACCTTTGCCCCCCATATCCGCAGACACCAGGGACCAGTTTGGATCAAGTCATTCACTGCCCGAAGTTCAGCAACACATGCGAGAAGAGTCACGGACAAGAGGGTATGACCGTGACATAGCGTTCATCATGGATGATTTCCAGCATGCTATGTCTGACAGTGAAGGTAAATGGGGCCTCAGTTTACCCTGTTACTCTCCAAACTCCAACGTGTATCTCTCTGCATGTTTAATTTTCTTTCTTCAAGGATGTCGTCCATCTTTCTTGGTGCAACTTGTGCATGTTTATTTCAGTTTTATTTCTTGTATGTGAACTTCTTGTGTGTAGATTTGGTGGCATGTTTCTCTTTGATTATTTTAAGTTTATTGTTTTCTTCTGTTTCATGATTGTTGGCTTGATTTGCTTTGTGTCTGATTTTTTAAAACAAGTATTACATAATTATATCAATAAAATATGGTCATCCTTAAAATACATAACTGGGAAGATTTTCATTGTATGGTTCTTTGCACTTTAAAAATATATTTTGACGGATTTGATAAATTTTAGTAAAATCACTAAGAATTAGAGCCATTGAGTAATATTTGGTTCCACTTTGTAATGTAGATGAATATTTGAACATCAGAGGTTATGATTCTCTTGCAGAGCGCTTTTGCAACTGCTTGATGTCAGCATAACACAAAATTTTATCATTCTCATTGAATAGATGTATTTCATCTTCCTTTATTATGAAGATTATTGCTGACAAATTTGTACATTCACTGTTATGCATTAGAAAGTTTAACTCTAATCATGATATTAAAAATAATTTTAGTATGAATTTTGTATATAAAAAATTCTATTTAAAACTGAAAAAATATTACGCTGTTTTTGCGGATGTAACTGTCTGGACTCTAGGCCTTTCTGTTGTGCCCTGGCATCTAATCCTTCCTGTAACCCTTTGGCATTTCATTGCTTTTCCTTTTTGCCCAAAGGTGTCTTGCTACTTTTTTGGTTGAACAAGTACATATGACACTAGGGTTGCTTTAATTTGGAAATTCTTATAGAAATATAGAGATTTTAAATTATTATGTAAAGCCTATAATGTTAGATAAACATTTATTTATCTAACATTTTTTATTGTTTTTTCTTTAAAGATAGCGTCTATTCTGTAGCTCATACAGGCCTGGAACTCACTATTCAGGTCACACTAGCCGAATTGATGGTGATCCCCCAATTTCAGGCCCAGAAATGCTTGTATCAAAGACATGAGCCACTGCACCCATCTTGTGTATTGGTTTATGTTTGAATAGATATGGGGCTGAAGCCCTGGAAATAAAACATGTCTAAACAAATGCAAAATCACTCCATGTGGATACTAAAAAATACTAAAATGATATGAATATTTGTAATCAGAAGTTCCCATGCCCACCGGTTCCTGACCTAGAGGCTTAATATTATTTATAAATATTTGGCCAATGGCTCAGGATAATTATTTTCTAACACTTACAATTAAATTAAACAATATCATTTATCTATGCTTTGCCACATAATTCATGGCTTGGTAGCTCATATTTTACATATTGTGCCTCCTCAGAGGCAGACTGGCTGGCATCTCCAGACTCCATCTTTCCTCTCCTCTATCTCTGTCTGGATTTCCTGCCTGGCTCTATTCTGCCTTGCCATTGGCCAAAGCAGCTTTATTTATCAACCAATGAGAGCAACATATATTCAGAGTGTATAGAAAGACATCCCACAGCAAATATTCTCCCATTTGAATCTTTCTCAGTAAAAACTCACATCAAAACATGTTTTTATGAAGAAAATTTTTTTATTCTGATATAGACACAGATTTGATTTTAGAGACTGATGGCTGAACTGAAGGGGGGGTGGGGTCGTCTGTAGGCCTGAGGTAAAGAGCCGTTTATGTTGCTTATGAAGTTCTGATCACCAAGTTTCTTTCAAACCTGGTTTTTCTCATTACAGGCTGATTGGTTGACCATTTTTATTGACAATTTATTATTTAAGTAAAACATTTCTGTCTGTCCTAGGCCATTATTTGAAATAACCCCATTAATTTACCTGACATTATGACATCATGTGGAAACAGTTGTTGTTTTAGTCTCTGGTACACAGTCTCATTGTACACATATAGAATGACTGAGGAAAGATATGAGAGGCCATCAATGGCCGTATCTCTAGAAGCAAAGCAAACTCTCTTGGAATTATGGAGCAACTCAATACCTAAAGCCTATGTGCACAAAGCTGACAATTATCTGGAAAGAATTTGACAAGTAGTGTTATTCCTCAGAAATGTAGTAGATTTGTATCTTGGTGTTAGACGTGTGAATGTATGTAAACTAGCCCAAAATGTGACATTTATTTGATTTCATACATATTAAGTTAACCAAGTATTTTTATTTCTAGATTTTGTTTATAGAAGTAATCACTAACTGAACTTTTGTTTGATGATAACATGATAAGATAGCACACATCCTATACAATTTTAAGGCAAATAAAGATTATGCCAAAGCAAAAAAAATGTACAATTGGATGGAAATTTAAGAACTAAAATATATTTTAAAATGAAGCAGACAAAATTCATTCATAAATAATATCGATGCATAATTAGGTGACAGGCTATAACAAATTGAATTTCATTAGTAACTTTGCTATTGCATTATACAAGGTATCTTTAAAATACATGCAAAGTAAAATGTCATGTTTTCATTGTTTGTATATCATGCAAATACTTGAAGTTTTTGTAGTGATGGGAAAACAAATAAAATTATTTGAATCAGCATGGGACATAATTTTACATTTTCTAAGATTCATTTGTAGTGTAGTTCCACCACAGCAGACCAAACATGAGCAATTAGGAGCAGCTAAGTCAGCTTACCTGGTTCTCCATAAGTAAGACAGATGTGACACAAGAGAGTCCTTCAATTTGGTGGCTCAGATTGATTCTGTAGTCCTATAAAAGGTGGCAGATATCTTATTGTTCAGTTACATGTGAGACTGTTATTAGAAATAATAAAAATCAAAATAAGTTATCAGAATTGAAGATAAACTGATGAAAAATTGGATCAGGTTAAGATTCTGTCATATTTGTAAAATCCAGAGACACCCCCCCCCCAAAATGCATTTAAACAGTTGTATTTGGAGAGGGAGGAGGAGAAGGAGTGGGGGGAGTGGGAGGGTGTTGGGAAGTGGGGCTAAAATGGAAACTTTTATAATTTAATAAACTTTGGAAAAAATGCAATTAGGGAAGTTACATATTCAAATGGAAGCCTGTATTATTCAGAATAACCACATGATGAAAACATGATAAAACTTTACTTTATATTTTTATTTTATTTTATTTATTTTTTGTTTTTCAAGTCAGGGTTTCTCTGTGTGACAGTCCTAACTGCCCTAGAATTAGCTCTTATAGACCAGGCTGGTCTCAATCTCACAGAGTTCTGTCTTCCTCTGCCTCCCGAGTGCTGGGATTAAAGGCATGTACCATCACTGCCCATCTTTTATTTAGGAAAAATCAAGACCTTAAAACTGAATAATAAATATATTTAATACCTATACAATTTTTTTCTCCTAAGTGAAGTTAAATATAATCTAGTAAATTCACTGACTGATGACTATCTGGTTTATTGTTTTATCTATCAAGCATTTGTTATACTGAATAATTTTATAAATTTATTCACTCAGCTTCAAATTACTACTGTGGTTTAGAAAATAATTATCAAGTAGATAAGTATGAAAAGAATATTGGATATCTATAAAAAGGTATAGAGAGAAGTTATTTATCTAAAGCTATCATAACTATGATGTTTAACTTCTTTCTTTAGATGATAACAAATAAGTCTATGTTTCACTCTTTCTATAAAATTTTATTAAACACTATGCTCCAATGAGTTGGAGGAGAAAATTAAGAGTACAAAATAACAAAAGAATTATAAATTTCCTCTTCAAGCATCACTAGTGTAATGGGCAAATCAGTCAAGAGAATATGCAGCCACAACCCAGGCATCAACTCTAAAACTGGTGGAACCATGCTATGCCACTCCGCCATTCCATGTGTACTTGGGAGAGGTGGTGTGGCTGAGTACCGCAGGTGTGCAAGGCTACAGATGTGCATCTGAGCAGAACTATCTGACTGTCTAGTTCTACTAGCCAATAAGTGCTGGAAATGGCAATCTCTGGAGAGATTTTTTTTGTAGTAGGAACGGCGGACTGCTTCCCAACACCAGCCCGGCTAGCTTTACCTGAAATAATTACACGGAAACTGTATTCTTTTAAACACTGCCTGGCCCGTTATCTGTAGCCTCTTATTGGCTAACTCTCACATCTTACTTTAACCCATATTTAGTAATCTGTGTAGCACCACGAGGTGATGGCTTACCGGGAAAGATTCTAACCTGCGTTTGTTTTGGAGAGGAGAGTCATGGCGACTACCTCACTGCCTTCTTCCTCCCAGCATTCTGTTCTGTCTACTCCACCCACCTATGTTCTGACCTATCAGGCCAAGCAGTCTCTTTATTAACCAATGAGAGTAACACATAGACAGATAACCCTCCTCCATCAATTTTTAAGGTTAATGTAGACACAGAAAGCCACCTTCAACAACATGGACAAGACAGCTCAGTCTGTGGCATTTTAGAAGCTGCCATTTTAAGAAAATAATATTGAAAGCATCATTTACCAGGTTGAGCAAGAGAACAGGCCATTTCATTGTCACTTGAGAAGCAGCAATATATTGTTTCCAAAGGCTTTTAATCGCTGAGGGGCGTAAGAATATAGGCAAGGAATGCCAAGAAGTAATATATGCCTATTCAATGTTAGCCGTTCAGTACAATTGGCACTTTGCAATATGCTAAAGAAACTTGGAAAGTACTGATTTAACTAGGTGAAATTTTTAAATTTATATTTAAATGTTTTAAATGTGATGAAAATTTGAAAATATACTATCAAGTTTTATCACAGTGGTAAGTTAATAAAAAGCAGTTGTCAAATTTCTAAGTCAGTGCTAAAATTCAGATAATCACAATTTTGTTTATATTAAAGATTCTCATATATATGTATTTTAGATATTTTTTATTATTAAGCTATAAACTTCTTGTAGTACACGTTTCTAACAATAACACATAGAGTATCTTAGCTTTTATTGCTTTTGTTCATTTATGATTGTCAAAGAAATGTCATATTTTCAAAAATATATTCACTGAGTGTTGCAGTCAGAAGCCATATGCTGTTGCTTGACTTATACAAAAGTGAAAAGTTAAGAGACACTTGCATATGCACACCGTACATTTCCTGTTGACGTCTGGTGGGTTGCCGGGTAAGGTATCTAAGTAGGAACTGATGGACTTCAGTTAAATGAAATTATCCTTATATACTTTTGTTTTTTATTGTTATCTAAATTTCATTTATACTGACTTAAAAATGTAATTTTGTATTGTTTTATTTACTATGAGATGTTGTGCGCATGTGTGCCTCTTTTTCTTTAGATTATTCTGTTTTCCGAAACTTTGTAGATACTGTTGGAAACGGGTCTAGTTCTGTCACAGGTTATGTCTGACATGCATGCTGTGCTCCACAAGCCCAGTGCATGCTAATACTGCAGACACTTGTTTCCCTCTATCACCTGTATCAGTTGCAGTCGCAATGTATGATGTTTCCTTGGTCTCCCAAGCCTACCACTTGCGTCGGGAGGAAACGGATTGGTTTGATAAACCCAGGGAGTCTCGCTTGGAAAATAGCCATGGTCTGGACCGGAAATTGCCAGAAAGATTGGTTCACTCTAGACCCCTCAGTCAACATCAAGAGCAGGTAAGAGAGCAGTTTTACAATCTCCTGGAATTGTTAACAATGAGAGTCAATCCCAAAATAGGCGAATCTGTTAACCAAAATAATTATCAGTCAAGTTCAAGAGTGTTTCCTTTTGCTAATTTATTGAAAATAGTACTTTGTTTTATCAGTTTATTGCACATTGTGATGTTTCTACCAGACAACTTAAATGATTCATTCATGCAATAGATGATTATTTTTACAGATATACCATCTCTGGTAATGAATGAAAAGAAAATACATGGAGCTACTTAAAGAGATTGCAAGAACATTGTGCAAAATACATATGTGTGATAAAAATATTGTAAAGATTCTCTTTTCTTGTTTTTAACATATTGTTTAGGACAATATTGACTAAATCTTTACATACTTTTGGGCCTTTTATATCTTAATATATCATTATATTGAATTGTATTTTTTGTTACTCTTAACATTGTATTTGTAGTTATGTTTTGATTCTCATCATTAAGATCTGGCTAGGAATGTCCACACTAATGAAACCAATATAGTTTTCATTTATTGCCCATCTGGGTCTCTGTACCTTAGTGTTCCCTACAAGCCTGGACAAAGTCAATGGAATGTTAAATATGGTAAGAAAGTCATAACAGCTGCTTTAGAAACCACAAATCTAAATTCCCCTCGCAAACACTCTTCTATGAATACTCAAGAGTTCTTTAACTAAATTGTTACATAATGTTGTCTGAGAATACATTGAGGTAATCTGTATCTATTCCAATGAAGTTTAAAATTCTGTTCTATTCTACTTAGATATTTAAAATACATGTATTACAAATAACATTTTGTTTTTAGTTTTCTGATACTGACGTATGTAGTTGAGTAACTTTGAGGACATAGTACCATTTTAAATATGTGCTTACAGACTAGTGTAATGTAAGAAAATAAAGAAGAGGTTTATTGAAGATCATTTCATAAAATTCTAGCTAGTTCAACAAACAAAAGGATAAAGATCCTTGTTAAATGAACATAACAATCATAATGTAATTTATTGCTGATAGAAGTCTTACATTTTCAAAAATGAATTTGAATTAGTATCAATTAAACTGTAAAACATTATGTAATGATGAAAATGATGAAATCATAAAGTTATAAGCTCCTATAAAGTGAGCAGCTGTACCCCACTAGCTGAGACAGAGAGCAGGGCTTGCCGCAGAAACCTGTGTGCCCCTTGTGAATCACAGTCTCTCCTTCAACAGGTAGCAGACATATTGATTTTTATGTTAATAATTTCTTTGCTTTTTTATATGTTTTCTAAGTGGATTCTATAGGAGATAACATGTGCCTTAAATATATAGCATTCAAAGTTTAATTACATGTGAAGTTCATGCTTTCCTGCATTGATATTTGTCTTCAAATACTGTTTTCTCCTTTAAATCAAGAACTTTATTTTGGTCTAGAAGCATTCTCATTTTATTTTCTTCTTTGCATGTCTGGTAATAAAAGATAATACTGAGCTCTTGATACCAATAAACAAAGATGCTAGTACTTGAAACATACACAACAAGAATTTATTCTCACAAAATGCTCTGAGGGAAAGAGGATAAAATCCAACTGACTGATTCAGACATGAATTTGTCTTCTATAAAAATTTGTATACAAAACCCTACATAGATACAGGGCTATTTCTGGGTGGAAAAGTATTAGATTTATAATCATATTAACTACAAATTCACCAATGCAGCATTTGTTTTCCTTTCAAATAGGTACATTTTAATATTTGTACTATCCAAGGGAAATCTAAATGTTCTTTGTGAAACAAACAGATCATGCAATCCTATTTATTTTTAAGGTTTTTCTATATAAAGAGGATTGATATCCTTTGATGATGGTTGTTAAAATAAGTCACCATTTGTTGTCTCTAACAATATTCCCCACTGTCCCAGTAAAGCTCATGTCATCGGCAAAGCCTGTGGAGCCCCTGCTTTAGGTATATTAACCTCTTCTGAAGGGACCATACTTTTTCTTTTATTTGTAGATAAACAGTCTGTTTTCTCTCTCTACACTCTGGTCACTTTGCTAAGCATACTGGTCATTCAGATTGTCATCAATAAGCCCCCTCATGCCATAGAACATCTATGAAACTACCAGTACTATCTTGCTACAAAGCTGGAGAAAGTCTCTTTTCCTAATGCTTTGGTATAACCATGTCTTATGTCTTTGATCATGATACAACACAGGAGTTGTCTGCCCTACATACCCTGACATATAGGTATGCAGTGTCCAGTACAGTGTGGGGAAACAGGCAGACATCTGTTCCCCATAGCAAGCATTTGTGCTATTCAAAGTGGACGTGTAAATAAAAATTATACTAATGCAAATTTAATTACTTCATAAATATGTAGACTCATCCCATAAAAACATTTGTGGTTAGGAAAGAACAATGCATTTTCTGGTATCTATGCAGGTGACAATCTTGATGATGTAGAATCATCAGAAGATGGTGGTGGCAGAGTCCAGCACCTTGGTGTATCACTTACCCTCCAGTTTCCCTGGGCATGCTCTTGATAATATTAGTACAAAAACAACAAGCAGCTGCCCTGTAAGCCTACTTTTCAGAGGCTCTGTCAATATTTGCCTGCAATTGTGATTCTGCTCTCTATTGACTCATGTATAGCAATCATAACTATAAAAGTTTAATATTTTACTAAGTGAACTCATAATGCTGGTTGCAAAGTCTTAAAATTTGTGGAATTGTGTGGAGATATTCTAAGGAAACAACCATGGAAATGAAGATGTTCAGTATCCCAACATCACAGATATCGGTTAAAATGTGATAATAATTCCCTGATAAAACTCTCATGAACACACTAAAACCCTGCCTTTTCTTGAGAACTGCAGTTTATACATTGTGAAATTTTATCGAGAGAATGAATACAGAAAACAGAAAGAAAACCTAAATGCAAAATAGTGTTGTCTTAGCTTATTTTTGAATAAATGCCTTAAATTGTCATTAAATCTTTATAAAGTCATAAAATCACCAAAATAAGGTTGATATGCTAATTTTAAGGAATAATCTCAACAACGGAATACCCAAGAGGAGTCCCAGTGAGTGCCCAGCATTGATAATGTAGAAGAAACCAGAGGCCTCAATTGACTCTTTGCAATGAACACTTGCAAGTAAAGATAAATGGACAAAGGGGTTTTACTGTGACTCACTGTGTCACTTTACAGCTTCCATGACAAGATTTTAAAGTTTCACTTTTTCTCTATTTTTCTCTTTTTTTTCTTATTTTTTTTTATTTTGTTGGGGGTGCAGGAGCTGAGGGTGGATGTGAAAGGATGGGTAATGAATGGGATCAAGCTAGATGATGTAGCAGACACACAGAATAAATTTAAAAACAAACAGTTAGACCTAAAAACATTTCAAAGGAAAGTCCAGTCGTGTGATAGTTTGGGAACCACAGATACCGCAGCAGCCTCGGTGCTCCCCTACTTTAGGAGCTCCTGTAGTAATAAGAGATCTCCCCCTCAGTCACATAACTTTCCAATATAAGGACAGAACAGGGAGCATTTGAATGAACAAAGTCTTTATTCATTTCAACAGAACTATTCTGAACATGGATGTCGTAGATCTCCTCAGTAAAATTTCACAATAAATTCCAGCACCTTAAATATATCACAGACCCAGGTATGGTATCAGGGATATTCTTTGAGATTTCTCCACTAGTTTCATTTAATTACTTAAAGTTAACAATGCCTTTCCATTTCCCGACTTTCAAGTGTGAAATCAAGGGCTGGAATTTCCCAAATACAAATTATTCATTGTCATCGATAATAAGTACATATCACTGTAGTCTGAAACATCCTTCAAAAACAGATATACATGCTCATTGATTTTCCACAAGTCAGTCTTCAGGAGAGATGGGTTATAAATGAAACACCATAATGAACTCAGAAACTAACTTAATCGGTATGCAGTGTGAGTGTAAAGTCTACAGTTGCCATCATTCAAGAATCATCCGGTATATTTTCATTGTTTTAATTGGTATGCTTTGAATTGAACAAGTGTACTTCTGCAAAATGTATTTCAAGGGTTTTTATAACTTGCTTTTCCCGCATCCCTTGTATGGCCTAGATTCTGCAAATGAATGGCAAGACCATGCACTACATCTTTCCTCATGCAAGAGTAAAAATCGCCAGAGACTCCAAGGATCACACAGTTTCAGGTAAGGCAAACTGAGCTCTTTGGTCATTTCTAATTCTAATGTCATATTGACATATGTATTTATTTTTCGGCTTGAATGACTCGTTAAATTTTAGAAAACAACCATTTATATCTGTTATAGCACATTTCCAAAAATAGCCGACTATTCATTTGAATACAAAAAGCATTAATGACATGGTTTGTGCATGAGGAGTCCCTCAAGTGGTACAGATCCTGTCCATTTTCTGCACTCCTAGCAGTGCGTGATTTGGCAGTGCTTATAATCACTACTTCAGAAAGCATCGTGGTCGCCGCATTATGTTGTGGTTTGCTCTCTTGAATGCAATGGCCGCTGAGTATAGAGAAAATAGAGGCTTGGGGATCTTAGGATCAGATTTTTCTGTATTTGTCCAAGGTGAACACTGACAATCATGCTAAGCCATCAGATTGCTTGTGTCTATTTATAGATCAAAGCTGATAATAGACTTTGTAAGCTTCTTATTTGGAATAACTTTGGACTTCATGAAAATGGCTCAAAAAGCAATGTCTGTCTTTTGCCCGGTTTTCCTAATGTTGATATAAATCTAGCATCAAACCAAGGAAATCAGCATGGATACAATATTATCATTGTCATTATCAATGGGGACACAATATTATCATTGTGCCCCCGTTGTCAGTCACAATCAGAGAGTCTGGTTTGATCACATGCTCGTTCAGACCCGGTCCAGCTGGATTTGGTTAGCGCCCATTAGAACAGGCACACTGCCTCAGTGGGTGGACCAACACCTCGCGGTCCTGACTTCCTTGCTTGTCTTCTCCCTCCTTCTGCCTTTCAACTGGATCTTGGGAGCTCAGTCTGTTGCTCTGATGAGGGTCTCTGTCTCTATCTTCATCCGTCGCCAGACGAAGATTTTATGATGATATTCGAGATAATCATCAGTGTGATAGTGAGGCAAGGACAGTTCAGGCACCCTCTCCTCTGCTGCCCAAGGATCTAGCTGGGGACATCCCCGTGGACACCTGGGATCCCCTCTAGAGCCAAGCCTCTTGCCAACCCTAAAATGACTCCCTTAATGTAGATATCTTCTTCCCTGCTCCTATATCCGCCCTTCGTCCATCTCCACCCTCCCACTCCACCAAGCTCACCAGTCTTTCCCTTCTCCCTTCTCTCTCCCCCTCTCCCATTCCCCAACCTCGCCTCCAACCCTACCCCCACCCCCATGCTCCCAACTTTTGCCCAGCAATCTTGTTTGCTTCCAATTTCCAGGAGGATCTATATATGTTTTTCTTTGGGTTCACCTTGTTATTTGATAACCAGGAATCCTGCCTGGACCTTATCTTGGTCTTCTGCATACATGGCTAAGAAGCTTGTTGGTCTTATGGGACTCCTAACAATGGGAGTGGGACTGTTTTGGACTCTTTTGCCTGCTCTCGGGACCCTTTTCCTCTTATCAGTTTGCCTGGTCCAGCCTGGATACGCTTTTTATGCCATGTTTGGTTGATATCCCTGATAGTACCTTTCTGAAGAGAAGTGGAGGAACAAAGGTTCTTGGGGAGAAGGGATTTGACGGAGGAACTGAAAGAAGAGGAGGTGGGGGAGACTTGTCCTCATCTTCTGCTGCAGGATTCTCTGAGCTCTGCCTAAAATTTGGCTGTGGGTCTCTGCATCTGCTCCCATCAGTTGCTAGATGAAGCCTCTGTGATGACAAGTAAGCTAGGCTCTGGTCTGCAAGTATAGCAGAATGTCATTAGGAATATTTTCACTGACTTTTTTTTACTATCTATATAATCATTTCTCATATTGATCTTGTCTTATTCCCTCAATCAATGATAGGTTCCCTTGTCATTGTCCTTGCTGACAGTTGTCATAGGAGGTGATCGTCCACACAGAGGTTCTGTCAGGTGACCGTCCACACAGAGGCCCTGGTGAGCTGACC